TTCATCCGGCGGAGCTCCTCTCTACCGCCACCCGCCTCGGGTACAACACATCCCGCCCCATCGTTGTTGCATGGCCGGCTCGTCGTCCGCGCAAGGCCGCCTCGTCGCGTTGGTCACCTCGTTGCAGTGGTGGTTTGGCTTGGGAGTCGGTACGGGGTGTGAGGAGAAAATGGATAAGATATGTGTAGCATGGGGGAGGTGGAATCGTTCGCAACGGCCCCCTGCTTTTCCGAACGAAAAAAGTCAATGACGTGGCTGGTCTCAGTTACTCTAAGATTCGTGTTGGATCCAACTGTCCAGGGTAAGTTTGATCCGAAAGGCTAAAAATCTGTCAGATTTTTAGTGATTTCGAAAACTTTTGATGTGATTCACTACTGACGTATTGATCAAACTTAAAAAAAATACTTGAAATACATGTAAGCACTTTACATAGAAAGAGGGCGTGAGGATGCTACTTTCATCGTAATGTGGTGTACTTCGTACGTGTCTGGTTGATTTTAGTGTACGTCGGATTTAGTCACAAGGCACGATCTTTCTTTTCCTTTTTTTTTTTTTGCATGGTAGCGTAATGTGACAAAGAAAGACAGTACATATGTAGGGCGCGGATTTTTGGTCTATGGGACATTTGTCCCCGGAATCGACGTCGTTGGAAAGTGCATCACGATCAGTAGTTAAAGTAACATTTATCGCTATACGTTGGGCATTTGTAGGCGGGTTGCGACATGTATACAGGAAGAACAGTGCTGTACTTAGGGCTGCAAGAAAAGCTCGAGGCTAGTGAGCCGTTCGAAATCGACTCGTCTTTTGACTCGACTCGAGATCGACTCGAAAAGAAACAAGCTGAGTTTGAACACTTTATGTAGCTCGACCGAGAAATGAGCCGATCTTGAGCCAATGTTGGCTCGCTCGATTTTAGCTCGATAGCTCGACAGAATATCATTATGTTAAATGAGCATGCCATATATTAAATGAAAATAAGATAATTTATTACCATATATGTTGTTCATAATTTTTCTCCATTTTATTTACCAACGAACATGAAAACTTAATTAAGTGTAGAGAAGATTCAGGCCTAATTATGGCACGTGGTCGACTATGTGTTAAATATCCTATATTTTTGCCAAAGGTTCCCAGCATATTCACCTTATTTTTTTTGTTTTCCATCTATAGATTTATAATTTTTACCATCTCATTTTGCTCGAAACTAGCTCGAGATCGACTCGAGATCGTTACAAGCTGAGTACGAGTCATGTTCTACAGCTCGATCATGAGCTTCACTTAGTTTGAGTTCGCTCGAATTTTCATATGAGTTAAGCTGAACCAACTCCAACTTTCTCGAGCTCGACTCGTTTGCAGCCCTAGCTGTACTGGGCGAAGAACTGGAAAGTACGGGATCGCGGGAGAGAACGTTGCAATACGAAACGATGGCACAGGAAAATACTAATAGGCAGGCTCGGATGTGGGGTGAGATTCCGGGGACAGATGTCCCAGGAACCAATGAGTATTTCCCTACATATGTAGTACTACTTCAGAGCTTGCCGCAATCGTAGTCCGGCATCATGAGCAGCGTCTTGGCGAGCACCCCGGACAGCAGCTTGTCCCGCACGAAGCTCACCACGGAGTGGTCGCTCTCCTGCACGAACCCCACCGCGTACGACACCGCGATCACCTGTGCGCTTCTCCACCGCCGGATGCCAGCGTACCTGCGCAGGGCAGCCATGGCCCTCTCCTTCTGCTCCCCGGAGCCGGCACCTACGATGGCGTCGCCGAGGCACCGGGCGAGGATGACGCCGTCCTCGAGCGCCGTGCACGCGCCCTGCGCCAGGTCCGGCGTCGTCGGGTGGAGCGCGTCGCCGGCGACGCACACGTTCCCCTTGCTGATGCTGGCGAACAGGAGCGAGAGCGGGGAGCGGAACCGCAGCGGTGCGGCGAGCACGTCGCTCATCTCGCTCCTCTCCACGGCCTCCAGCACCTCAGGGCTCACCTTGGCGCCCCTCATCTGGGTCAGCACGAACTGCTTCATCGCGGCGGCGCTCCGGTCGACGACGCCATCGTCCTTGCCGTTGGCATCCTGGGAAGGAGCTGGACTCCAGGTGAAGAACCAGTAGACATCGGTGTCGCTCCAGGGCACCAAGCCGGCGCGGAAGCCTTCGCCGACGAACTGCAGGATCTTGGGCTCGAAGCCGTGGCCTTCGGGGTACCTGGCGTGCCCCCGCGTGGCCGTGCGCCCCGACTCGGACGGCTTCGCGAGCCCAAGCCATTTCGCGACCACCGAGTTGATCCCGTCGCAACCGATCAGCACCTTTGCACGGAGAGTCGAGCCGTCGGCGAGATGGAGGATCTTGGCACCGTCGCCGCCGCCGTCCTTGTCGTCGATGGAAACGATCTTGGAGGAGTAGCGGACGGTGCCTGGCGGCAGCTCTTCCTCCAGCGCCTGGAGCAGCGCGTTACGCTGCACGCAGCGGACTTCATGGGGTCCCCTGCACCAACATCATAGTGAAAACTCTGCTTTCACCATTGCACCAAAGAAGAGAGTTGAGATCGATCGATATGATGGATGCATGGGAATCTCCTCACAGTTTTCCTTTCACCCGGAGATCCATTTCTCGCGCTATTTCCCCCGTAGACGAAGACATGACCCGCAACCTGACCAACGACAGACAGACAGACAGACAGACAGACATATCATCATCCCATCACCGGACTGTTGTAAATGTACAGCAAAAACGAGTACATCATGCATAGCAATACCCCTGCAGCTGCAGATGTCGGCCTCTCATCTTGTCTCCGACCCCAAGGGCGTCAAGCGCGCGGAAGGCGTTGGTCCAGGTGAAGAAGGCGAAGCCGGACGTGCGACGCTCCGGCGACGACTCAAGCACCACGCTCCGGACGCCCTTCCTGTGGAGTCCCAGAGCGACGGCGAGGCCGGCCAGTCCGGCGCCGGCGATCACAATGCCTTCGGCTGCGTCCTGCTGTTGGATTTCCGCCGCCATTGCTTACGTACCAAGTCCAAGAGTGATCGGTGTGCTATCGATCGTCAGTATGGTAGTGGGAAGCCGTTGTGAGGAACCAAGAGTGAGTGGTCAGTGTGTATATATATGCTTGCAGTTGCAGGAGCGGAGCAGCAGAGAAGGCTCGATCGAATTTGACGTCATTGCTGATGATGCGGCGGCGCGGCCGGCTGCGATCCCGGGACCGTCCCCAGAACACGCCAGCGAGGGACAAACATCAATCTTGAGCGTGGCTTCCTCCCCACTGAGTATTTTAATCATGGATTTTGGGAGCAAGGTGGAGCCGTAAAAGGATTGATTGATTGGAACCACTAAACCACGGGATGAGCCCATCGATGACATATGCATTCACCCAAAATAGCTTTGGTTAGTGCTCCACACAAAGAGTTAATTGCACAATGGTACCATAACTGGCCTAGGTCAACAAATTGGTACCACTTTTAAAAAAAATTGCAAGTCAGTACCAAGTGGTGTAGGCGGCAACAAATCGATCTAAACTCTGCATAAACGCGTATTAACAGGAAAACTGACCGGTGGGGCCCTCCTGCCAGGTGCCAGGTGGCGAAGAGGTGCGTGCGCGTGCCTGGACGCTGACTAGGACAATGTCCGAAGATGCGTTGTCGGAGCTTGTCCGCGGTGGCACGCGGCTCGGGCGTGGTCACTCCCGTCGTTGTAGGCGTGTCCGGCAATAGGAAGGTGCACCATGGTGAAGAGGAAGATGGGCCAAAGAAGATGATGTGGTCTACGGCGAGCAGATCGTCCTCAACAGGCCCTTCGATCCCGCTGGAGTTCGCCGGAGTTACTGGTGGGCGTGGGCGTCGTCGAAGGCGTGATATGGCTGTGTAATCGAGCAATGGAGAGGGTCGGGAATATGTGCAGGATCGGGATAGGAAGAATTATGGAGTCGAACATGGGAGACCCAACGGCTCCTGTACGGACTGGCGACGCGGTCGTCTCGGGCGATGGTGGCGACGGCGCTGCGCAGGGCCTCATCCCCGCCGACCACGGCGTCGTCGCTCTGGTCTCGGCGGGGGGCCAGGCGGGGGGATGGTCGACGGCTCGCTCCCCTGCACCCAGGCGGACGGCCGAGCCCCCCACGGGCGTGGTTAAGTGGCCGGGGAGCCATTTTTGGGCTCTGGCGGAGGAGGAGTCGGATGGCGAGGAGGAGGCGGTGATTGACGGCGACGGGTTGCCAGAGGCGGGCGGTCGTGCGGCCTGCACCGTTGGCGACTTCGTGTCGCGGGCCGAGGAGCTTGGGGGCTCTCTCAAGGCCGGACGTCGGCGTGCCTTTGCGCCTGGTGGCTGTGGCCCGCGTCGGGTAGCGGCGGCCGTGCACAGGACGCCGGGTTCTTCGTGGGGTCGCGAGGGACGGGGCTCCCTTGCGGTGGCTGATGCGGGGTTACTGCTGCAGCATGCACTGGATCCCCCACGCCCGGTGAGGGAGTCCTGGACTAGGGGGTGTCCGGATAGCCGAACTATCATCATTGGCCGGGCTCCCAGACTATGAAGATACAAGATTGAAGACTTCGTCTCGTGTCCGGATGGGACTTTCCTTGGCGTGGAAGGCAAGCTTGGCGATACGGATATGTAGATCTCCTACCATTGTAACCGACTCTGTGTAACCCTAGCCCTCTCTGGTGTCTATATAAACCGGATGGCTTTAGTCCATAGGACGAACAACAATCATACCATAGGCTAGCTTCTAGGGTTTAGCCTCCTTGATCTCGTGGTAGATCCACTCTTGTAGCACACATCATCAATATTAATCAAGCAGGACGTAGGGTTTTACCTCCATCAAGAGGGCCCGAACCTGGGTAAAACATCGTGTCCCTTGTGTCTTGTTACCATCCGCCTAGACGCACAGTTCGGGACCCCTACCCGAGATCTGCCGGTTTTGACACCGACATAGGTGCTTTCATTGAGAGTTCCTCTGTGTCGTCACCGATAAGCTCGATGGCTTCTTCGATCATCATCAACGACGCAGTCCAGGGTGAGACCTTCCTCATCGGCGGCTTCGCACTGCGGGCCAATTCGCTTGGCCAACTGGAGCAGATCGAAAGCTACGCCCCTGGACGTCAGGTCAGATTTGGAAGTTTGAGCTTCACGGCTGACATCCACGGGGACTTGATCCTCGATGGATTCGAGCCACAGCCGAGCGTGCCACACTATCGAGACGGGCATGATTTAGCTCTGCAACCGGACAGTACCCTGGAGGCCGCACTCGAGTCCGCTCCGATCTTCAATTCGGAGCCGACTGCGCAGATCGAGGACGGATGGCTAGACACCGCCTCGGGGGCTGCAACCTCTACGGCGATAGAGCCGAACACTGACCTTGTCCCTCATGAAGCTTGTGACTCCGAGGTGCCGGACTCCTTGCCGGACTCTGAACCTCCCGCACCCCCTCCGATCAAATCTGATCGGGCGCCGATCATGGAGTTCACCGCAGCGGACATCTTTCAACACTCACCTTTCGGTGACATCTTGAGTTCGCTAAAGTATCTCTCGTTATCAGGAGAGCCCTGGCCGGACTGCGGTCAGGATGGTTGGGATGCGGACGACGAAGAAATTCAAAGCCCACCCACCACCCACTTGGTAGCCACTGCCGACGATCTAACCGACATGCTAGACTACGACTTCGAAGACATCGACGGTATGGACGACGATGCCGGAGACGACCAAGAGCCAGCGGCCACCGGGCACTGGAAAGCCACCTCATCATATGACATATACATGGTGGATATCCCAAAGGATGGGAATGGCGAAGAAACAGCGAAGGATGACCCCTCCAAGAAACAGCCCAAGCACCGGCGTCAGCGGCGCCGCTCTAAATCCGGCCACAGCAAGAATGAAGATTCCGGCACCGGAGATAATAATACACCGAACAGTGCCGAAGACAACCCACTCTAGCGAGATCCAGCGCAGGAGGACGGAGACGCCAGCCCTCATGAGAGAGCGGCAGAAGAAGAGGTAGAGGATTATATGCCTCCCTTCGGAGACGAGGCAAGCCTCGACGACGATGAATTTGCCGTGCCTGAGGATCCCGTCGACCAAGAGCATTTTAAACGCAGGCTTATGGCCACGGCGAACAGCCTCAAGAAAAAGCAGCAACAGCTTAGAGCCGATCAAGATCTGCTAGCCGACAGATGGACTGAAGTCCTCGCGGCCGAAGAGCATGAGATCGAACGCCCCTCCAAAAGCTAGCCTAAACGCAAGCTGCTCCCCCGATTAGAGGAGGAGGCGTATGAACCCGCATCACCAGGAGACAATACGGCTGACCGACCACCCCGTGGTCGCGACAGAGAGGCCTCTAGGCCCTTCACTAGACCCGTACCCCGGCATCGCTCGAAAAGCACAAGGCCACAGGGGAACGCTCCGGACTTGCGAGATATATTGGAGGATAGGGAAAGACAATTAAGATCGATCTATGTATCGCGTGGGCGCCCCATGATACATGACGACAACCGTCGCGCCGGACACAGTAAGTCCGGCCGGGCCGAACAAAATAGACAAAGCCCTTTTGAGCTCCGTCGTGATATCGCCTAATATAGAGGTGCCGCACACCCACTATGCTTCACAGACGAAGTAATGGATCATCAAATCCCGAAGGGTTTAAACTCGTGAATATTGAATCTTACGATGGCACAACAGACCCCGCGGTTTGGATCGAAGACTATCTCCTTCACATCCACATGGCCCGCGGTGACGATCTTCACGCCATCAAATATCTCCCCCTCAAGCTTAAAGGACCAGCCCGGCATTGGCCTAACAGCTTGCCAGCAGAGTCAATTGGGAGTTGGGAAGACCTGGAAGCTGCATTCCTCGATAACTTCCAAGGCACGTATGTGCGACCACCAGACGCTGATGACCTAAGCCACATAATTCAGCAGCCAGACGAATCGGCCAGACAATTCTGGACACGGTTCTTAACCAAGAAAAACCAAATCGTCGACTGTCCGGATGCGGAGGCCCTTGCAGCCTTCAAGCATAATATCCGTGACGAGTGGCTTGCCCGGCACCTGGGACAGGAAAAGCCGAAATCCATGGCAGCCCTCACATCACTCATGACCCGCTTCTGCGCGGGTGAGGACAGCTGGCTAGCACGCAGCAACAACCTCAGCAAAAATTCTGGCAGTCTGGATATCAAGGACCGTAATGGCAGGCCGCGTCATAACAAAAACAAACGCCGCATTAACGGCGACAGTAGTGAGGATACGGCAGTCAATGCCGGATTCAGAGGCTCTAAACCCGGTCAGCGGAAAAAGCCATTCAAAAGAACTACTCCGGGTCTGTCCAATTTGGACCGAATACTCGACCGCTTGTGCCAGATACACGGCACCCTCGAAAAGCCAGCTAACCACACCAACAGGGACTGTTGGGTATTCAAGCAGGCAGGCAAGTTAATTGCCAAAAACAATGACAAGGGGCTGCATAGCGATGACGAGGAAGAGACCCGACCGCCGAACAATAGAGGACAGAAGGGTTTCCCCCCACAGGTGCGGATGGTTAACATGATATACGCAACGCACATACCCAAAAGGGAGCGGAAGCATGCACTCAGGGATGTATACACGATGGAGCCAGTTGCCCCGAAGTTCAATCCATGGTCCTCCTACCCAATCACTTTTGACCGAAGGGACCACCCCACCAGCATCCGCCACGGTGGATTCGCCGCATTGGTCTTAGACCCAATCGTCGATGGATTTCACCTCACCAGAGTCCTGATGGACGGCGGCAGCAGCCTGAACCTGCTTTATCAGGATACAGTGCACAAAATGGGCATAGACCCCTCAAGGATTAAACCTACCAGGACAACCTTTAAAGGTGTCATACCGGGTGTAGAAGCCAATTGTACAGGCTCAGTTACACTGGAAGTGGTCTTCGGATCCCCGGATAACTTCCGAAGCGAGGAGTTAATCTTCGACATAATTCCATTCCGCAGCGGCTATCATGCCCTGCTCGGACGTACCGCATTTGCAAAGTTC